CTGGCTAAGAATTTTTGCCTTTGATGTTTGGATTCAGATGAGCTCTTTACTTTTTTAGATGCACATGCGTCTGATGGCCGAAGTTGTTGAACCGGAATTCCTTTCAAAGATCATGAAACAGTTCCCAGATCTCCGTAACGACCCGCTTGCATGTCATATTCTGCATGATTACTACATATTTAAAAGCATGGTGACGCTTCCTAATGATGAAGAAGGTCTCGCAAAGGTGAGTGTTATATGACGCGCTCTCCAAAGCATTTATGAATCTAACTTTGTTTTCTTTTTCAGCTGCGCAAGTTCCATTCTGAACATCCAGCTCTTTTACCTGCAATCAATTGGTTGTTGAAGAAGCATGCTCAAAAAGGAAGGGGATCAACTCAGGTTTAGTCAATTGAGAACCGTTCTTTGGGATTGTTCGATTAGGACCGTCTTCTCTTGAGTGCTTCTTTCATAATTCCAACTTCTGTTCCTATTTGGAGCCATAGCGTTTTACTTCCAAAACTTTTATTTGGAAGAAAAAAAAAGAATTTCTTCTTTTCTTTGCGTACCAACCGGACTTATTGAAAGAATATGTTGGTTAGCTTAGTTATACGATGTGTGACGCGCGGTCTTCGTCGGGAGATACAGCTAATATCGTCATAGTCTGGGGGGCGGCGTCAAGAGGCATGAAATAAGCCGTGTTTTCACTACTGGTTGTTTTTCTTCTGAATCAATCCCTAACTTCGATTGATTGCGACGATATCAACCATTCTTTTCGTGATGAACTTTATTTTCGAACACAATATTACCTAATCTGATGAACTTTATTTTCGAACTCAATATTACCTAACCAGCGCACCTTCATTTCGGGCTTCAAAATTAGCGTGGAAGGATGGGCAATATTGCAAAGAAGTTAGTAAAGGGATACGGTAAAATACCGAATAGTTCATGAAACCAGTAAAAAGATCTTCAAGTCATCAAAGCCTCGTAATGTACTATACTATACCTAGACATTTTTTTACAGCGAACGCCACGTGTTCAAGCAGACCAGTCTCCAGCTCCAGCGGAACCCCCTCAGATCACTCAAGAGATGCTGAGACAAGTAAGTATCTACAAGTTTTTGGTATGTATAAGCTTGTTTGGTGGTTGTGCGGAAATCATTCACTGGCATTATAAATGGCCGTGACCGATAGGACACGTAGAACCGTTCCGACCGTGCCTACTTTACTCTGACTATTGATCATTTATTCTGTCCAGCGAATTCGGTATTACCTCAATTTCTGGACAGACAGACGGAAGACCCCCTCAGAAAATCAGAATCAGGTGCTCGTTTGGGGCATGAGTTAAGTGTATGAGCACAGATTAGATCTAATGACACCACCCACAGTGGGCGGGCATAGCGCCGAAAGTAAAGTAGCAAAAACGATACGAACCAGATCGATCGTAAGAGAGCTGAGAACCAGCGAACAAGGACCGTCCTCCCTCTGAAGTCCGAATCGTTCTAATAGTTAAGAAGGCGAGACATTAACGTCACGCACTGTAAGAATTACCTTTTATAGATGTCACTGAATAACGTTGATCCGCAGCCGAAATTGTAGCTTACGGCAGTCGATAAGCGCGAACAAGTAATAGCTATAGCTGAGGCTAATTTGATGTCATTTCGTTGTTATACGATAACTAACTGCTGTAAGGGGTAGCTGCGCGTTGCGTGCTCGCAGTGTTACGCATTGAGGCGAACACAGAAGACATCAAATCAATACACAGCCTCTAATTACGGTACTTCGAAAGTGAGTAAAGTGGTGCACTTTGACGGCCACGGTCCTTACCGGAGCAGGTGGAGGCGTCCTTACGTACATATGTTACACGACGCGAGCCTGTTTCCATCAATAGCTGACCATCCATAGCGGCAATAACTGGTGCAAACTGACTGGCGCCGTGCCAAAACGGACGTACCAGAAACCCCTCCACCTGACGCTCCGTTAGACACCATACCTTCGCCTCTTACGCAGGAAGGATTTACTTCTCATAATCAGATATACCGTACACAGACTGTATCAGTGCTAGCGGTCACAGTTCAGAACCTGAACCTGGTTCAGTATGAGTCAAATTGTACTTAATGTGTGGTCGTTTTACAGGATTATTTATCATTGGTGAACGTTTTCAGGCAATGGCAATAGCATTTGGAGGTGCAATGCCGGGTGGATCAGGAGGTAGCGGTTCTAGCGCCTCATCACGTCCTGCATCTCTGGTTCCTACGCCGCCACCAGCACCAGCAGCTGCACCGGCACCTGAGCCCAATTCTGGACCCTCGTATGAACACATTTTGCAATTGCGGTCGGCGTTTTACATTCAAAATGGTTTTCCTATGAACTCTGATCTAAGTCTTTACGTCTACGTAAGGTACTAAATCATTTCTGTTTAGCTCGCGATTTGCTACTCAACTGGTCCAATTGAACGAATTTGGCTTCACCGATGAAGCTGCCAATCTGTCCGTGCTCGAATCAACTGATGGAAACGTCGAAGTTGCTCTCGATTTGTTGATTGCGATGAGAGAAGGGCAATAAGTTCATTTCGTCATAACAATGAGTATTGATTTAGTTCTCAAGTAAACATATATTTGTCTTTCTCACCCCAAATTAAGTATACCTGTAAAGGATTTTTGCGATGACTACGCTATAAATTTGATTAAAGATCAGTCCTGCAATGTATTTTATATCGTATAAGTAACGGCGGAATTCCTATGGGTTGTTTTAGAAGTGAGAGTAAAGTGTTTTATGTAGGTGTGGGACGCGTGCGGTTGCGAAGCGGTCGAGTGCTTTGAAGGAATACGCCGATCTTGGTTTCTTTGCGTTCTTTTCGAAGCACTATTTCTAAAGGATGTATTTGAATTACCCGTCACGGAAAACGAAAGATGTCAGAATTGAAGTGTGTATCGCTTAGAGGGTTACCATTACTTGGTGAATAAATAGATTTCTGAGGCTTTTTATTGCTATTTTTTTGTTTGTCTTTTCATTCAATGTACAAAAATGTCGATAGATAAAGTTTTTGTATATTTTCGTTATTTCATTTGTGGTGCCGTCGTATGAGGTGTGAAATTGCTGTCGTAGATAGTTTTCTACAGTGACAGACGGAAATTGTGAAAACACAACTACTGCGAAAGCGACGACGCGAAAGTATTTAGCAGGGGACATTTCTTAGCATTTGCGCTCAGCCCACTGTCAGAGACTTAGTGCTTAAGTGGTAAGCCAACGCTAGTGGGCCATCGCCTCTGTAGCCCGTATTTCCTGCACGAGACTCGAATAACGCTCGATCAAAGAATATTCCGCATTTGAAACGCGTTTTTCCCGCGATTATAAGCTCGGATCGTTAATACTATTGAAAAGATGGTTTGTTTGTACAGAGCATGACCACAAAATTGCAAATAAATAGGGAGGAAGGTGGAATTCATCACTTGAACTCCTCCTATCCAGCGTGTCATCCTGAGAGAGAGAAGACGAGAGAGAGAGAGAGAGAGAGAGGAGAGAGAGAGAGAGAGCAGACAGTAGCTTCGAAGCATTGAATGTTGAACGATTTCTGTTTTTAATCATTGTTCACAATGATTAGTAGGTTGAGAGAAACACGACTTTTTTACTTTGTTGAGGAGTTGAGTATGTGAGTGTGGTAGTCTTTCGAAAGAGAGAAACCGAGAGAAAAGTGTAAAAAAAAAGCAGGAAAAAGAAGGAAAAAGCGAGAGAGGTTGAAGAATTAGTATTGTGTCACTTAAGAAAAAAACTCACGGTCCTCTGTATGCGATGCTGTTGTAGATCGTGATTGTTGATGGTTGAGGAAGATGCGACCAGTACAAAAGACTACACTCTGCTCAGTTGGTGAAAAGAGAAACTTCGATGCTTTTATACAGAAACTTGCATTAACTCGTATCTCTAGGCGCGTCCCGAGGCGGCTGCTGTTGGTTACAGTAGTTCTGTTAGACTAGATTTGGATTTTATGGTGGTCATGTAGCTTACTGGGGTTTCAATGGATAACGGGAAGATACTTAGAGATTCGGACTGTTTCGTGCACTCCAGAGATTTTTGCAGAGGTCTCCTATCTAAGGCTGCTGTTACTAAGTGTGAGTGTGAAAGATCCTCTGTGAGGCATTATTAGGAAGAACAGCTAGAGAAGTTTGTCTCAATGATGTCTTTTTACCGGATAGTGATGAGGAAACTTGAAAGGATTTCATAGACCCCGAAATTGTCTTTTGAATGAAGTTTATTCATCGAAGTCGGGCTGTTAATCAGACACTACCTCTTAAACTGTTGAACTCATACAGAAAACTCTTATCGATACACAGAAAAGAGTTTTCTTGTTACTGATGGATTGCTCCATGCAGACAAATTCTGGTCATATTAAACACTCAGTCGGAAGGGTGTCAATCTATCGGACCTTTTTCTACTTTTTTTTACTTCACATGTGCATCTTCGTATGTGTGGTGACTGAGGTTAAATGGTTACTAAATCGAAGGACAAGTCACGCCTCAAAGATTTTATATTCGATTGTAAGGTTGTTCGATCAGAAGCTTGTTGCTAAGGATTCCTTCGTTGGGGACTGCTCCTATTTTTTGATGGCAGTAAGCTATAGATGGCTTCTTGTTCGCGTAGGCTTGGTTTCTAAAACACTGTTACAATACGGCTGCGCTTGAAATTCTGCTCTTGCGCCACGCTTTGTTCACGCC